TTTTTTTTTTTTTTTTTAAGGATCACAATATTTATGGGATGATAACGGTCAATGATAACCTTTTATTTTTGTCGTTGAAAATAGCTACTCTGTCTAAAAATTTTTTTCTGGCTTAGATTTTATTACAAATGGTATTTCTATAATAGAAAAATATTGCAAATAATCGAAGAAAAAAATCACTTCAAAAATTTTCGTCTTTTATTTTAAAGTTGATAAAATCTTTGCTATGATAGGATTTTCTACCTTATTAATACCTGCTGCTACTTATCAAATGTTCTCAATTAATTAGTCTTTTAGTTTATTTAATCTATTTCGTTAAATATTTTAAAATATTTATGTAAAGTCAAAATTTTATCAACAGAATATATGTAATTAAGCAGAAATATTACAAGAAATTTACAAAAAGTTTAAACATTAAAACCTTACCGATTTCGGTTCCTGACATTCCTGATCCTGTTTAGTTGATTCATTTCATGCTACATATTTTCCATTCAATTTCTCTAATCATTGGTGTGGTTATCTTTATTAACTCAAATAAATGAACTATCTCTTCTTGAAACACTGATTAGTGCTCTTTATGCGTAATAGTCCCATCTCCGGTTCAATTGGTCCACAATATTGCTCATGACAGTTGATTTTTGTCTCTATATGATTAAAGTTCTGCAAGGTTCTAACAATGAAAAATAAATTAATCAAATTTCAATTGTTTGAAATTATATCATCCATTTGGGGCAAAATTTGAACAAAAATTTTAATTAATAGCAATGTAGTCACAAAATTTCAAATGAAATAGCAGTTGAAGATAAGAATAGCGATAAATTATTATTAATTTGATTAATTTCGTATAATTTCTTAACACGCATCACTCAAAATTGATCATTTTTTATTTGCAGTAAAATTAATTAACGAATAAAAATTTGTAAATTCATTCATCAATAGTGGATGAACTTCGTATGATTGTTGTTACATTAGCAGTATAAGTTTGCACTAATATTCAAACTTAAATCTTAAATATTCCAATATATAAAAGATGCCAATTAAAACAATTGTTTTAGGGTTGGATAAAATGTAAATGTTTAGAGGAAGTCTTATTAAACAAGTAAATTGTTTCTTAATCCAATTGATTAATTAATTTTTAAGTTAGCTTTGCTTAATTAAAATAACATACCATTTTCCTACTGCTTACATTTATAACTCTCTTACTATTTTGTTGCTTATTTCTACAACAAATGATCAAATAAAAAAATGAAAATGACATAAAAATAGTTGAATGTATGGTAGTAAATAAGACATATAAGGAGAAGTTGTAATCACAGTAACAAAAAAAGAAAAGATTCAAATTGAAATTGGTATTTTTAAAATTAAATATAAAATTAAATGGTATATCGTTTCTTCAATTACAAAACATTTCGAAAATTGATGATAAAAATTATTATGAAATATTCGTGCATAATAAATTTATTTTTTTGCAAGAAAAAAAAAAGGAAATTCTAAAAATCTTTAATCATTTAATAAAATGGTACTATAATGTTTACATCTTTTATTTACTATAATTTATCCCGAGATTTTCCATTTATCTTAAAAATTTCCTTTCCCCTTGTAGATTTTATTTATTCAATAAAATGATATTCAAATTATCATCCCATCAATAATGTTTCCTTATCGTTACATTAATAAATAGTAAATAAAATTTTTTCAAATGGAAAGAAAAAAATAAATAAATAATAGAACAATATTGTATATAAAAAAATATGACAGTACGAAAGAAAAAAAAAGAGAAAAAGATAAATTGGTAAAAATTATAAATATATGCATAATATGTGCAGATGTTTTTGATTAGAAATGAAAAATTATCAGGAAAATTCATCCGTATGAACATATTCGTTGTAATGTTTCAATGCTTCCATTACTTCATCACAACTGATTGTTTTGTGAAGGATCTGAAATTTTTGTAAATATTTAAAAATTGTAATTAAAAAAGAAAAAGAAAATCAAAGTTATTATTATTATGGATGAATTATTGTTAAATGATAATGATAATATAGGAAGAAAAATGACATTACATAAATGATAATGATAATATAGGAAGAAAAATGACATTACATAAATGATAATGATAATATAGGAAGAAAA